CATATATGTACAGTATACATTATTTAATATAAAATTTTTTTATGTGGAAGGAAATCTGTACAAAAAAAAAATAAAAATAAAAGGAAAAATATCCGGCAACACTTTTTTTTTTCCGGAAGTTAAAATTTTTTAAAGGAAAATCCGGATTTTTAAAATACTATTTCCAGCCCTGCTGTACATATACAGTACAATTAAAAAAATTCGTACTACAGTATGTTTTTGGTTTAGTATTAGGTTTTGATTTCGGTTTTTGAACCGAAACCGAAATTTTACCGAAAATGTTTCGGTAGCTTGTATTGTTTAATTTCCAGAATTATAGAGTTACATAACTGCACGAAAGTCAAAAGGTTTATAGTTTTGGCGGCCAACACTAATAGCCTGACATAGTAATAAATTTTGAAATATTAATATTTTTAAAAAATTACTTGATCTTTAATTAATTCTATAGACTCTTCCGCAGCCAAGTCAACCAATACTAATACTAAATTAATAATATATATAATGCACAATTTCCGATTTGAAGTTTGGAAAATGAAAATATTTTGGTTGCATGTATAAAGATCTGCTTTAATAAATAAAATATTTTTTTCTCTCAACAATGGCTTTTTTACTTGTCTCGTTAGTTTCTATTATTGTTTGTTCATGATCAGCTCTTTTATAGAGATTAAAAAATTGAGCTAACACTAAGCAAGCAAAAATTAGATTGTTGATGATCAGTATTACTTCCAATTTTATATATTTTTTACTCGTTTAGCACAATAATATTTGAGAGGGCTACGGTAATATGTCAATAAGTTCAAATTTACGTTTTTTGCTTTCACTGTGTATTCAAATGTAACTCAATTTCAAGTCCGCTAAGATGTACGAAAATAAAAGGATACTTGGCATAAAACGATGAAGAAACTACAACAAACAAAAGAAAAACAATAAACTAGGATTCACATCTCGTCGTCTTCAATTAATTGTAGAGAGGTATTATTGGTGTTAATATGGAAATGGTAAGGCCTTAACTCCTCTATCACATTGGAAGTTTTTTTCAATGAAACTATCGCATAAATCTTATCATGCTTTGTAAAATCTAAATGCAATAATTTTTTTTTCTTGTGTTTATTTATTTGTTTAAAGTTTATGATTCACATGTAGAGCTGATAACTAACATTTTCCATATCATTTTGTCATTATTCTTGATGAAGAAATTTGAAAGTCAGTCAATTAAATTTTTTTAAATTTGTAATTATTGATGTTTGTTGTCCAAGATTATTTATAATTATAAATATTTATTTATTACTGCATTGTTTATGGAGACAAAATTTGAATTTATAAATAAAAATAAAAAAATGGCATTTTACAATTTCATTTCTTTCTTTTTTTTTTTTAATTTATTTTAATCCACTTTTTTACAATACATTCTTTCGTTTATCTTTTACTACGTTGCTTATAATTAATAATGGCACAAAAAAAAATCAGGATAATTTCTTTTTTTTTTGTCTGGTGCATCATTATTAATTATGTTAATGCGGCAGATTTATCAGTTGTTGTTGCTGGAAGCGAAGCATTTTACAAATTCACGCCCGCTACTCTTTCAGCTTTCTTGGGTGATAAAGTAAGTTTTATTTTATTTAATTATTTTTGGAATCTTTTAGGTTAAGTGAATAAATAAATTATTATTTTATTAGATAGTCTTTAAAAAATACGCTGCAACTAAGACTCCTCTTATTAGGCTCGTAGAGTCAGATTCAAAAGATGCCTGCATCAGGACCAAAAGGGCTGATGCTTGTATGTATAATTCTATCTGATATATTTTATATTTCATTATTTTTTTATTAATATTTTTTTTAATTTAGTTTTTGGAGAATTACTAGATACAACTACGACAGCGACATTTGCACCTGCAAAAGCCGGAACATATTACATATTCGATTTGCTTAATACGGATTGTAGTTCTTATTATAATAATTGGTTTACCCTTACTGTTGATAATGCACCAGCTAATGCCCCTAAAGCACCTGCACAACCTACTACACAATCTATTTCGCAACCACCTGCACAACCTACTTCGCAGCCACCCGCGCAACCTACTTCGCAGCCACCCGCGCCACCTACCTCTAAATCAGCCGCATCATCTACCTCTGAATCACCTGCCGCTAAATCATCGTCCACATCATCTGTTTCCCAACCACCTGGAACAAATTCTTCTACTAGCACATCTCAAAGCAGCGCGGCTTCCACACAAAGCAGTTCAAGTGTCGATTCTCCAAAGCCATTATCGACTGAAATAATAGTTGGGATTGTAGGGTCGGTTACAGGTGGTATTTTTGCTGTCATAGCTGCATTAATAACGGTCAAATGTAATGGCAATAAGAGAGAAAACAATATGGGGTCTATGAGAAACATGAAAATTATGAGAAATGCTTAATTGTCATATAATATATAGAGATTGTGTATTGTAAAATTCACAAAAAAATTTGTACAAAAAATATTAATATTAATATTAAATTAACATATTACTACCAAATAAATTTTAATCGTCTTTACTTAATTAAAGAAAAAATTTTGCTATTGCTCTTACAAAATTTTGACAAAGAAATAAACCATTAATATCAATTGATAATTGTGATGTCTTTTTTTATAGACAAGATCTTCTTCACCTTGCAGGAATACAATAAGGAACAATACTGATTTTTGTTATAGAATCATGGAAGCGAAAAACCGATTTGCTAAAATTTAACTCGTTTATTTTATGTCAATCAATATAAATATTATTTATTAGCTGCATGTTTGTCTAACGTGTATATTCTCATTATTCTACCGTATTTGGCTATATTTAGATGACAATTTAAATTTGTCAACAAAAACAATTATGTTATAAAAAAGATGCAAATTATTTTTTACTTATTACAATAATTTACATAATTCTATATCGTTAATTCCCTTGTCATTCCTTTACCACTTCCACCTTTTTATAAAACACAGCCTTTGATTTATCTTTCACATTGACTTATTTACACCTAATTCATAATGACACAAAAAAAAACCAGGATAATTTCTTTTTTTTTTTTTGTCTGGTGCATCATTATTAATTATGTTAATGCGGCAGATTTATCAGTTGTTGTAAGTGATACATTTTACAAATTCTCACCCGCTGCTCTTACAGCTATCTTGGGCGATAATGTAAGCTTTATTTTATTTAATTATTTTTGGAACCTTTTAGGTTAAGTGAATAAATAAATAAATTATTTTATTAGGTAATCTTTAAAAGATCCGCCACAGTCAAGTCCCCTCTTATTAGGCTCGCAGAGTCAGATTCAAAAGATGCCTGCCTCAGGACCAAAAGGGCTGATGCTTGTATGTATAATTCTATCTGATATATTTTCTTTTTCATTATTTTTATTAACATTCAACCTTTTTTTTTAATTTAGTTTATGGAGAATTACCAGATGCAACTACGACAGTGACATTTACACCGGCAAAAGTCGGAACAAATTACATATTCGATTTGCTTAATACGGATTGTAGTCCTTATTATAATAATTGGTTTACCCTTACTGTTGAAGATGCTCCAAAAGTAAATGCTACTCAATCAACAGGATTACCTAAAGTAGGATCTGGTAGTACACAAACATCTTCATATTCGGCATCATCAACAACATCGTCAACAACAACAACAACTTCTTCTTCTTCCTCTTTTGAATCGCCAATTACTTCATTGGGAACAAAATTTTTAATTGCAGGTGCGATTTTAGGAGCTATAGCCATCATTCTTGGTATAATTGCCTTTATAGTAAAGGCTAAATATAGTAGAAATCGTGAAAATTTTTACATCTATAACGAACAAAATAATACTCTGAATGAGCAGAATTTTAACCAGCAAAATAATAGTTCTGTACAGCAGCAGAATTATGAGCAGAATTACAATCAACAGAATTATAATCAGCAGAATTATAATCAACAGAAGTCTCTGCAGCAGTCATACGAGCATAATAATATCCAGGCACCGGCACCACCATATAATGAGCAGGGATATAATAACAATGCCGTTGCTCACTATAATGCGAATTATGAAAAACGCATATAGCAACAATATTATAATTAGCGTGATTTTTCATTATAAATATTTTCTTATAAGCATAATGTATTTTTATAGTTAGCATTTTTTTTTTTATTATAATAAATACTATTCTTGCATCGAACAAGTTTATAAATTAAAAATTTCCTTTTGCATAACGAAAAAATTATGTGACACGTTAAAAAATGAATGGATCAGCACCCACTTTTGGTAATATAGTATGAAAAATCCTTTTATGGTAATACTAATAAAACAAACGGAAATCATTTAAAATTTTTGGGGTGGGGTATTTGTAGGGTTTCTATTCGAATAAGGTTGATTCAAATTATTCACTTTATTCGTTATTATTATGAATTTGAGTATTCGAATTACATTGAAAGTTTATTCGAATAAAAAAATTAATTCGAATAAGGAAATTAATATTAATATTAATATTAGTTTGAATAAAGCAAATAATTCGAAAAAATTAATTCGGATAAAACAAATAATTAAAGGTCCAGTTTAAATTCAAGCTCACCGGAAAGATTGCTATTTATTAAAAGAAACATGAATTTTGTTTCAGTCTTTCCTTATTAGTTTCATTTTTAATTTCAATTTTTATAATCAATATTAAACCTTGTTGTATATATAGTTTGAATATTTAAGTAATTGAACAACCCATGATTCCAAATAATCTAATAAATGAATGAACAAACCCAAGATTCCGATAGTGAATAAAACAAATAAAACAAATAATTTGAATAAATTTTTATTCGAATAATTAATTCGAATTAAAGGTCAACTGTATTACGAATAATTCGAAAAAGAATTTGTATTACGAATAGAAACCCTAGGTGTTTGGATATGAAAAATTCTGATTGGCTAATTTGAAATCTCACATATGTGAATTGCTAAATTTCATTTTCGCGCACAACAGTCATATATCGTTCATTTAATTTGACTTTATAAAATATATATTAGATTAGCATATGATAAACCCGATAATGACATTAAATAATTTAATTTTTTCTTGTTCGCAATAATTAAATATATTAACAACTACTTCTACTTCTTATTCTTATGAGCCAAACTACCATGATCATTACTTCCACTTCTTAACCTTATAAACCAATTTTACCAAGTCACAAAAAGTTCAAAACAGCTTATCCGTCAAAACTAGAGCGACTACCATTCTTAATATCTCGCAGGGTGTATTAATAATAATCGCAGGATCGATTGTAGGCGGTATTTTTGTTATCAATGCTGCAGTAATAAGTATCAGTAATGCTTGTAGTTTCGGTACCTTGGAGGACGAAATTTTCTTATGCCGAAGCTATTTACCAAAAGTATTTTTGTCACTCAAGGAGTATCGTGTTGGTCTCGATCAGCTTAATGTTAACACTATTTGACGCATGACACTTATTTCTCCAAAAATGAAAGAAAAACACTACTATCTTCGTTTATTAATTTCGAAACAACAGCGACAATAACAGCAAGGAATCGGGGGAAGAAGAAGGAAAAAATTTCCATTCTTGTATTTTTTATTATATAAATTAAATATCTTATTATTATATTATGAGATAAATATAAAATCCCAAAATTTATCCTAACGAAAAGTAAATTAACTCCTCCCATAATTAAAAATCAATCGTGTCTGTATCTCTTGCGAGTAAGGTAATAATACTAGAGCTTACTCGCAAAAAAGTTTTCGATAATAATTTGACATCTATTTATTTTAACGATCCATTGCCGTCAATTAAAATATCATTACCTACTCTATTAATTACTATATCGTTCGATAATAATTCACCTTTGATATCAAGAAATTGGCCAATAACATGCTTTCCAAATCCTTTGAAATGTTTTTATTTACTTCGTTAATCAAACCTTCCTTGTTCTCTTTAATATTTTTTATAAATTGCACTGCAAAAAATCCGCATATATGAAAATTTTTTGATAATCAACTGCCGTGAGTTATTTAAAATCTACAGTTGGTGCAATACGCGTGTACTAAGTAAAATCTTTGAATCGGGTTACTATCTCTAAAATCCAAACCTTGTATTTTTATATATTTTTATATAGGTTTCATACTACAAATACATATATATATATATATATATATATATATTGAACAATTGTTATGAACTATATTATAAGATACATTTATTATACTAACCATACAGCCTATTTTTTTCCTTCGATGTAAAGATCTACAAACCTTTGGATGAAAATACTCTACAAACATCCGGCGATAAATGCATTTCGGATGGTAAGTAACCCATACATAGTTATATAGATTTCCAACTTCCAACTCTTCTCTAACAATCTTTTACTGCTTTTACAACTTCCGAGATTGTTAATTAATTTTCGGGGCTGATTCTTATCAATGACTCTTTAAATAAATTTTCTAGTGTAAAATCTCCTGTAAGAGGCTTTACATTTGATATTTCTTTTACTTTTAACTTATATTCATCAATAAACTCATTAATCTTTAATATTTATTTGTCTAAAATAAGTTAATTGCTATGATTTCATTTTCATGTACATGTAATAATATTTTATAAGTTCTTAAAAACATATCAATAGTTATAAAGTTTTATGTAAATTATGGACATTCATAGCATAGTTATTCCTTTTAAATTTATTATGGGAGTTTCGGTGCTTAGAATGCAAGCATAGAGTGAATTTGAAATCACATGCGTGAAATTCCAATCAGCTAATCAGAATTCTCTGAATTATCTACTGCTGCGAAGATTACCTCGGAGTTTATATACGGAGTAACGGTATTATTGACGAATTAATTTAGTTAATTTAGACGTTAATGACGTTAATATCCCATTGATTAAAAAAAAAACTTTTTTGATTCTTTTTAAATTAAATCTCCCGTCTATGAATTCAACTATTGACAAAATCAAAATCCTTCA